GAGGGCAAAAGAATTAGGAGTACAACCTAGAATCACCTACCCATCAAAACTGAGTATAATCCTTCAGGGTAAAAAATGGTCATTCAATGAAATAGAGGACTTTCAAGCATTCCTGTGGAAAAGACCAAAGCTGAATAGAAAATCTGACCTTCAAATACAAGACTCAAGTGAAACATGGAAGAGGTAAACAGGAAAGAGAAATCATAAGAGACTTATTAAGGTTGAACTGTTTACATTTCTGTAGGGAAAGATGATATTTGTAACTCATGAGTCCTTTGTCAGTATTAGGGTAGTGGGAGGGGAAAAAATTATATGTTTGTATAGAAAGATAGAGGGCACAGGGTGAGTTGAAGATGAAGGGATATATGGAAAATAAAATTAAGGGGTGGGAGAAGATTATACTGGGAGAAGGAGAAAGGGAGAAGTGGAATGAGGTAAAATATCTCACATGTAACAGACAAGAAAAGACTTTTACAGTGGAGGGGAAATGGGGAAAGGTGAGAGGGAATGAGTGAATCTTATTCTCATAGGATTTGGCTTAAGGAGGGAACAACATACACAATGGGGTATGGAAATCTATCTTACTCTACAGGAAAATAAGGGGGAAAGGGGACAAGAGAACAGGGGGTTGATAGAGGGGAGGGCAGATTGAGGGAGGGGGTAGTCGGGGGTGGGCACTTCTGAGGAGGGACAGGGTCAAGGGAGAGAATAGAGTGAATTGGGGGTAGAACAGGATGAAGGGAAGTATACTTGGATTTTCATGGCAGGACTGCTATGGGAGTGTTTTGCATGACTGCACATCTATAACCCGTATCGAGATGCTTGCCTTTTCAATGAGGGTGGGGAGGGAGGAAGGGAGAAAATTTGTAACCCAAAGTTTTAAAAACACTTGTTAAAAACTTTAAAAAAAATTAAAAAAAAAAAGATTAAGGAAGTGCAACCCAAATGTTATCTTTTGGTAACAGATTTAGAGCTGGAAGGGAACTAAGCAGTCATCCAGTACAACCTTTCAGTTTCTTACATATGATGGAATGTTAAGAGCCTTGAGAGCAGGCACTGCTTAGTTTTTGCTTCTGTGTTCCCAACAGCTAGCACAACAGCCCAGTTACATATTAAGCATTTAAGAAATACTTATTGACTTACTGGTGAGAAAATTGACAAAATAATAGTCTCTGAATGTTACAGTAATTGGTTCAGTGGACCAAGACTAAAATTAAAAAAATGTTTCATTCTTTGTATGTGAAAAGAGGATGTATAATTTTCTGGTAGAGGTATTAATGGGCTGGGATTGAGGCATATGAACATTACATCGTCCCCACTGTTAATATTAGCATGAATTTTGAGATGGCTGGCAGGATTAAGTATCTAATAAATGACAATGGAATAGACTCTTACTGCTAGAGCTAATTGGCTTGCACTTATCCAGTTATTCATTTAACTTTTTTGTTCTAAGTGTTAGGAGAGATATAAAGATAGATACAAAATAGTTTTTTGCCCTTGAGGAACTTACAGTCTAAAAGAGAAGAGATAACACATTTCCAATGTTAAATATAACACAAATCAGAATACAAACATGAAGAATACAAAGTGGTATTAGACAAAGGAAAGATTACCGGCAGATAGGGAATGTCAGGTACAGAGAGAATGAAGGGACGGTGGTGCTGGCAGATAGTTGGGTTTGGCTAGAATGTAGAATATGTAATATGAGATAAAGCTAGAAAGAGAGAACGGAGATAGATTGTAAGGAATTCTGAATGGCAGTATGATGAAAAAGGTACTAAAGGCTTTGGAAGAGTGGAGTAGTATGAGGAGATCTGCACAATGGTTAGATCAAGATAGATTAGGAAACTATTTTGACATTTCAGTTCAGAGATGATGAGGGTAGTGGCAGTGAAAGGATGAGGTGGTGAGACATTAGAAAGACGTTGCAAAGTTGACAACAACTGAATTTGCTGATGGACTGGATGTGGGAGACAAGGAAAAGGGAGACCAATGTTCTCTGATGACTCTGAGGTTCTGAGCGCCCAGTGAACAATGGCAGTGTTTTTGACAGAGCATGGAACCCCGGACATTGTGCTCTCTTGACACACTAAAATTTGAATCAAATTTCTTGTCTAAATTTTAATTGGGTATGATCTAGCTCTCCTTAATTTCTCTGTACCAGTATTTCCTGTTTCTTTGTTCTCTGCCTCTAAAGCCTGTATTGTTTTAAATGGGGTAGGGTGCTGTACTTACAGAACACCACACTATGCCCTAGAGCCTCCCCCTGAATCCTTTCCACCCTGCCTTATCTTGCATAGGGGAAGAAAATATAGAGGAGCTTACAATTTGATGGTGGTACATGGATCCATGTTTGTGTACCTACAATTGTGCATTTATGTTTGCTTTTAAGCTTCCTTACATTATAATATTTAAATTACTAAATGAAAAAAAAAGTATTCAGAAGTTTGGTGCTAGCAATTTAGATAAGAGGCCTTAAAAATCATCTAGCTTGGTATAGTTTTCCAGATAGCCATCTAGACAATCCCCTCAACACAAAACATGGATTTATTTTTTGGAGGCTTTTAAAAGTTTATTTTCATGTTAACCTCAGACTTCTGATTAGTTCAATTATATTTGATCAGACCCACTCCCAATGAATATGGCAAGAAGATTATGGAATCAGATTCATCACCTGTAAAACAAACTCAGTAATCTTTAATGCTTGAAGGGCCTGGCATGTCAATCAACAGATTGTCTTTAAAACTCTGAAATAAAAATTTTTAGCCCACTATCTCTTTTTCATAGATTAAAAAAAAATCATTGCATCAATTGATGCAGTGTGGTCCTTCAAAGTATTCTTAAATTCTGGTCCTTCTAGTATTAAGGTTTCTTCTACTTCTAAAATTTTATTCCTCAAGTAAGTCTCTATTGGTTCAATAAGCCAAAAGATTTTCAGCTAGTCCCCCAATCCTACTCCCTTTAAAAAAAAAAAAAAAGCATTTTCAATTCTTTTCATCATCTTCAAGACTTCAAGGTTGTTTTTTTGAAATATTTAAAAAGACCAACTTAAACTCCATTCTTGCTGTGTCAGAAAGAATCCTGAATTTAGTCAAAATCCTTTCACCAAGAATCTACTTAGTCTCCTCTCTCAATGCTGAACAGTTACAGCCTCAGAGCAATGACAATAAAGTGAGATTTCCTTGACAAGATATTAGACTTTGATATTTACATGGGCTCAAAAATATCTTTATTTTTAAATTCTATGTTGAGGTTTCTCATTTCTGACTTAAATTCATTACTAGTTTATTTTTTTAAGAGTTTTATTTCTCTTTTGAATCTTTCTGGTATTGTTCCATGCTCTGAGTTCACCTAATTCTTTCTCTTTCTCTCTTTCTTTTCTTTCTTTTCTCTTTCTTTCTCTCTCTCTCTCTCTTTTTCTTTCTTAGGCAATTGGGGTTAAGTGACTTGCCCACAGTCACACAGCTAGTGAGTGTCAAGTGTCTGAGGCTGGATTTGACCTCAGGTCCTCCTGACTCTAACGCCGGTGCTCTATGCACTGCGCCACCTAGCTGCCCCCGATTCTTTCTCTTTTAAAAGGTTATTGTTGTTCAGTTGTTTTTTAGTCTTGTCTGACTTGTTGTGCCCCTATTTGGGGTTTTCTTGGCAAAGAGACTGGAGTGGTTTGCCATTCTGTTCTCCAGTTCATACAGATGAGGAAACTAAGGCAAATGGGTTACATGACTTGCCCAGGGTCACACGGTTAGTGTCGAAGGCTGGATTTGAACTCAGGAAGATGAGTCTTCCTGACTACAGGCCCAGTGCTCTATCCACTGTTCCACCTAGCTGCCCCTTTCAATTTGATTAATTTTCCTTCATATTATAATACTTGTTCAAAGAGCCTGGTTCCTCTCTTTTAAGGTTTTACACATCCTTTCTTCTGTTGGTTTATTTACTTGTGAGCTAGGTAATTATTCAGGCTCTCCATAGATCTTTTGGTCTTTTAGCCTTTCCCTTGTATTCTCCCTCACTTGTATCTGGATTCTCTTCCCATTCTTGTCCCCTTTCCCCTTGCACAGCTACATAAAACCCTTGAGGCTTAGGTGCTGGCCTTCCTCAAACTTTCTCAAGTTGGAGGATACACTGTTTGGCTGGCTTTGCTCTGAGTAACTTTTGGGAGAAGAAGGGAATGGAAAGTACTGGCCCCAGCTGAGTTTCCAGTGCCCTTTCCCTCAGGCCTGTTGTTTGTTCCCCTCTGGGTCTGTGTTTCTGAGTATAGTGTTCATTTCCCACCCAGCCTGAGTGTCATCATCTGGTCACTATATCTTTCCTTTGTGTGGCTAATCAGAAATCGGTGTCTGGACCTGACTCTTGTTAGGTTGGCGACAGATGAGGAGTAGGGGTGGTGATGTTGGTTCTGATCTAGAGAATTCCTACAGCCAGAACTCAGGTATATTCCTGGGAATTTGTTTGTGCTCACTGCAGTGGGTAGCAGTGTAGACTGAGACATGTTGAACGAGAAGTCTAAATATTAGTATCAATTCATTTTTTAAACCTATTTGGGAAGGGGATGGTTCTTTCTTCTTATCCTTTGGATTCAACAACTCTCTACCCCATACACAATTCCTTTCTTTTTAGGTTTTGAGATTGGAGAAATTGTCAGGAAAGAACACCATCTTGCTGGCTATGTGATATGTATAACTCTACAAATCTTTGTCAAATCACAGAGTTTTAGAAACCAGATCATTAAGTGTTTTGTTATCTCCTTACAGCTGTTTTTTTTTTTTAAGAAAAGAAAGAAAAAAAGAGGGGAGAGAGAATATAGGCCAACAAAATAAGTTATACTCAGGATATACTTGCTTGACTTCCAGCAGATGCTGCTGAAGAGTTCTATTGAGTCAGACCATAAGGTTTAGTGCTTTGGGTCAGTACACACACACACACACACACACACACACACACTTTGAAGAGTTTGCAAATTTTAAAAAAAGTGATCATTTAAAGATGCAAAAAACTCAAACCTGTTTCCTGTGAATTCTTCACTGCAAAACATACACACTCCATGGAAACTGGTATCATATCTTTCACGCTGTTGCTGCTCTAGGATTTCTTTCTGTAAAACAGAGGCAGATTTGATTGATAGTAGTTTTGCAAATTCATGATTAAGTGTTTCTGAATTATTTTTTACCTGTCTTGTCATATAATCAGCCAAATACTACTTTTTAAAAAAAAAAATGTGAATGGAATTTGGGATGAGAACACAAAAGGAGACTGAGCATCTGACAATATCCTCAATCTCTACCTTCGGTAATGTTCTCTTGACAAAATTCATGTCTTCAATCTCTAATTGCTTACTGAACATTTACATCTGAATGTCCCACGGTCACCATAAACTCAGAATGTTCAAAACTGAACTAATCATCTTCTCTTCCAAATCAGCTCAGTCACTTTCCTGACTTCCCAGTTGCTGTCACCACTAACAAACACTCCTATAATTATCCAGGCTAAAAACCCTGAGAGTCATCTTTGATTCATCCTGTTGATTCCTCCTCCATATGCAGTCAAGTCAATCATCAAGTCCTATTGATTTTATTTTTGCTAAAATGTCTCTTGAATCCCTCCCTCCTCCTTCATTCCCAATGGAAGCATGTATTCCAGGCCTTCATTGTATCACAGCAGGATTACTACAATGTCCTCCCTAATGTTGGTTTATGCTTGATTTTATGCATCCTATGTACTACTGCCAGATGAACTTATCTTACATAAAAACCTATGGTAAACTTCCTCAATGGCTCTTAGTTTCTTACTCTATTAAGTCTAAATCCATCTGCATTCCTCCTCCATAGCCAATCTTGTCCGACCTAGTCCCCAAGACACATTCAAACTGCAGTCATTGTTGGTCTCCACATTACATCACAAAGATAGGATTCTCATTCTTGTAGCTTTACCCTTGATTATCTGGTTCTTGCCTGAATACCTTCCACTTAATGTAAATGATGCCTACCTTTCAAGGCCAAGCTCAAATGTGAATTTCTCCCATGTAGCTAGGCTTGCTGACTCTTTCAACTCTTGTCCCAATCTCCTCCTCAGAACTTACTGTTTTCAACACATGATTTAGCACTTAAATATATTTAATTGTATTAGTCACTAATTGTTTTGTGTATGGAATATCTTCCCAAGCTCTTTTATGCTGCTTTAAGGGACTAACCATGTCTTATGCATCTATAATTCCCTACAGCACCCGACAAAATGCTAAGCTTGCAGTAGGCACTCTATGTATACCTGACTAATTTATAACATAAATATATTACTGAATTGCATACAATCTAGAAACTTACCAAATTTCTTTATGCCAATCACAATAGGTATTCTGAGCCTTTTCTTCTCTCTTTAAGACTCCCACCCCACTCCATAACCCCAACCTCTCTGCCGAGGACCTCATCTCGTACTTCACACATACACACACACACACACACACACACACACACACACACACACACACACACACACACACCCCACAAGTCATTCAATAAGAGTTCCCTCTTCCTCCTCACCTCACATCTCTCTGATATCAATCTCCCACTCTCTCCTCCTTCACTTTGGTTTCTGATCATGAGATGGCCCTTTGGCTTGCCAAGGCCAATCCCTCTACCATCTCATCCTCTTTTGCCTTCCTATCAGATTGCTCCCACCATCATCTCCACTCTAATTACAATTTCTCCCTTCCTACTGGCTTCTTAGCTGCTGCCTATAAATATTCCTGAGACTCCTTTTCCTTTAACTCTCACTAGATTACACTATGTGTGCCTGTAATTGTTCTATATCTCTATTTTTCTTCTCTGCTGACATTTTTGGGGAGAAAAAGGTCTATACTAGGCACCTTCCTCACATTCCCTTAAACCTTCTGCAATACGGCTTCCAACATTATTATTCAAATAAAGCTGCTCTTTTCAAATTTACCAATGATGTCTTGATGTCAATGTTTGTCAATGATGTCAATGATTAGTTTGCTGAAACTAATGGCCCCTTCTTGATCCTCATCCTTTCTCACACATCTGTAGCATGTGACACTGGAAATCTTCTCTTTTTGGATACTTTCTCTTCTTTGAGTTTTTGTGAATCTGCTCTCTTGGTTCTCCTCCAGCCTGTCTGGCCATACATACTTCAGTATCTTTTGCGGGATCTTCATCCAGGTCCCCACTAAGTGTGGGGATCCCTCAGGGCTCTTTCCTGAGCTTTCTTCTCTTTTCTCTTGATTCTGTCTCATGATCCTATCTCCCACTGGATCAGATATCACCTCTTGCATATGATACCGAGATTTTTGTATCCAAGCCTAGTCTCTCTCCTGTGCTTCAGTACCACAATACTAGTTGCCTGTTGGACAACAAACTGGATTCCAAAAGCATCTCAGACTCACTGTGTCCAAAACAGAACACTTTGAGTTTTTTCCCCAAACCCTCTCTTCTTATGAACTTCCTTATTACTAATGAAGACACCACTCCCCTTCCAGGCACACAGGTTTGAAACTCTGGTATCATGCTTGGCTCTCCTCTCTTTTGCTTGTCCACATAGCTAATTTCTGCCAAATCTCATCATGTTTACTTTCACATCTCTTATATGTGTTCTCTTCTCTCTACTCACACAACCACTGCCCTAGTTCAAAACCTCAGTTTCTTGCCTGGATTGTTGCAATAGCCTTCTCATTGGTGTCCCTGCCTGTTTCTACTCCAATTCATCCTCCACACAGCTGCCAAAGTGCATGTCAGACCATGTTACCCTCACCTACCTTATTAATGAACTCCAGTGGCTCATTGCTACTACATGATCAAATATAAACTTCTCTGGTTGAATCTCTTTACAACCTGACCCCTTCTTACCTTTCCAATCTATGAGAATTCTACTCAGATCCAGTCATATGGCCTATATGCTGTTCCTTGAATATGACACTCCATATCCTGTTTCCATCCTCTGCACACAGGCTGTTGCCCACACCTGCAATGCTCTCTGTCCCAACTTCCTACTCTTAGAATCCTTGGCTTTCTTTAAGTCTCAGATCAAATGCTACTTACTCCAAGAGGCCTTTCTTGGTCCTTCTTCCTTCTAGTACCATCCCCTCTAGGGTCATCTTCCATCTCTAATGTATTTTATCTTGTAAGTTCTGATCTGTCTATGTTGTCCAGCTCATCACTATATATGGTCCTTGGGGGGAGGGACTTGTTTTTACTTTTTTCTTTGTATTCCCAGGGCTTGGCATAATGCCTGCCTGGCACATAGTAAGGACCAAGCAAGTTTTTTTTAAAATTAATAATCATCCTCTTATTCTTTAGCAACAGAGGAGATAATATTGATATTTAGTTCCACACTGAAGAAAATTTAAAGCTACTAAGTTAAAACTTCTATCTGCAAAATTTCTGTACTTTTTCTTCTAGGTGCTTTTTTTTGTTTCTATTTCTCTTGATTCTATTTTTTTTTTTCACTACTTTACTCTTTTGCTTCTATGTGTGAGAAATATTTAGTGCTAGAAAGTTCTAGGTACTGTGCCTTAGAGGAAAGGCAGTATACAAAAAAAATTTTAAAGGAAAGAAATCAGAGTTCTGTCTCCCATTTCTCTGGATTATAACCTCATTCTCATAAGAGCCATTCTAGTCAGTAATTATTTTGTCTAACTTAGGTTGAAGAATGCTACAGGGAAGGAAACAGCTTCATTCAATTAGAACCTTGCATTTATTGACCAAAGACAGGGAAATATAATGCATTTAAACAGTTTAGCTTAGGCCTTCTTAATTTTCCTTTGTACCTATGCTGGTGTAAGGAATGGGATCACAGCCATTTAAACTCCTGCCGGGTTCATTAGCTCACGAATGAACAGAGGAGAGGACTGGGGGTTTTCCACTGGGGGTAGGGTATTGCCCTACCTGGTTAAGGGAGGGGAAGAGGAGAGTTGAAAATAGTGTTTTCTCCCTTTCGACTGGTGTGTGCATTGTTTGTGCAGTCCTGAATACAAAGATAAAGTCCAAAGTCAATGTCATTATTACCACATACATACAGTATCATTATTTCTATCTCAAAATTTTTCAGGAAACTAACTTGTGCTTGTTTTATAAATACTTCTATTCTGACCCTAAAAACCAATGAAAAACCACTGGCCTTTGCTTTATATTCCTTCATTCTATTGCCCTTCTCTCTTTTCATGTCCCTTTTCTACTTTCATTAAAAAAAAAAAAAGTTTTATTGATACCTTTTGTTTTTACATCTTAGTTTTTCTAGATCTTATCTCTCTCCCCTCTCCTTAGTACTGAACCTTCTTTTGTGACCAAGAAAAATAGTTATGCAAAAATCATGCACTAACAATGTGTTAACTATTCTGGCCTTGTAGTCCTCTAACTCTCTGCTGGGTGGGGGTGGGGGGGGATCAGTCATCCTGATCCATATCTGATTACTGGACCCAGATGGCTCTGGAGGAGAAAGTGAGGCTGGTGATTTTGTACAGCCCTCACTCACTTAAGTCCAATTCACTTGTGAGTCATGGCATCACCTCCCTGATGTCATGGTCCTCTTCCAGAACAAAGGACAAACAACAACTACCTCTCTGCTGAGAGGTGGGAGGTTTGTTTTATTAACTCTTCTCTGGGTAATAATATGCAGAGTTCTCTGGTATCGGCGTTCTCTATAATAACCAAGAATAGTTATTATGATTACTTGGAGTTCAGTTTCCTTGGTTTCATTACCTTCTCATAACTGCAAGTCTCTCTCGCTACATATATATGTGTATTCACACATAAAACATATATGTACACATACATATATAATACCTATATATGTGACCAATATGAGGAATTCAGAGAAACATGGGAATCTGTATACAAATTAGTGCAGGGTGAAGCAAATGCAAGTTCTCTTTTTCTCTGAATTCCTCATAATTATCATTTCATAACACGCAGTAGTCCATTACATTCCCAAACTACAACCATTTCAGGCTTTCTCAATCACCTTCTTCACTGGTCTCAAGCTCAAGTGACCAGTAAACTCCTTGAAAGGCAATTTAACCATCAAGATCCACTTATCCCCAAAAGATATTACCCTCAAGCCTTGGACAAATTGGGTGGCAAAGTA